GTGTTGTACCCCAATGTGCCCAACTTTATTATAATAATTTACTCTGTCTATAACACTACATGATTTTACAAGGAAAGAGCACTGGTGCTCAATGGGTTACTGTCCTTCCAATTGAAGTGTTGCTGAAATATTGATTCAATACATTACCTCGGGCTGACCAATTCATTTGATCAAGTTCCTCGAGATATTCATACACTTCCTGTGAAAGAGCCAATTCCAAGTCAGGCTGATTCCAAGTATTTGATCATTTCTGGTCACTTCCTTTCTATTTATGATTGGTTAGTTGCACAAACAACCAAAGGTGATTGGTGCATTCAAACTATTCAACAGGAAGTTTACAATTATACTAGGAAGTGTATGAATATCTCAAGGAACTTGATGAAATGAATTCGTCAGCCTGAGGTAATGTATTGAATCAATATTTCAGCAACACTTCAATTGGAACGACAGTAATATTTATCAAGCTGCATCATATTACTGCAATCTGGGACTCTCAATTCCCATCTGCCCCATATCGGGGACAAGGCAGTCGGGAGTCCCAGATCTCCAATGTCAGTGGAGGCACATTCGGACTATAAACTATTAATTAAAAAAAGAGAAAATACTCATACAGTATGTACTCAACATATATATATATATATATATATATATATATATATATATATATATATATATATATATATATATATTTGTATATTTTCATTATTTTCTTCCTTTATTATTAATCAACGGCCCCTTGAAAATCAGCTACAAGGAACTCAGGGTTTTTTTCAGGATTTTCTCTTGGGTCCGTTTTTGCAGAGAAGATTGAGTTTAGCTGAACAGCTGGGATGGTTGCCCCCCCCCCCCCTACCGGGGGGCTGACACCTGTACTCAATCAATGTAGTTGAGACGGAATTTGTTAAAGCAGGGGCACTAAGGGACACTATAAACTGGTTAAAGATGGCGAATGCATAGTTTTTCTTGTGTTGTGAGATGAATTCCAGCCATTTTTTCTTAATTGTCGGGTTTCCAACTGAAAACTAATTTCCACACGTCACAAAATTTAACTCAAACAACTTCATTTTTACTGCACTGAAACTTTGGTGAGAAGATCGAGTTTCAAAACTCAATTCAAGATTGAGTTTTTGGGGCCGTTTAACGGCCCTAAAAAATCCCTGAAAAAACCCTGGTGCAAGAAATGTTTGAGAAAACTGGCTTAGTGTTAAACACTGAGTCAGTTAGCCATTCCGAAGTTGATGAGAGGACTGGGGAAAAGTGTTAAAGAGTGCCTAAATTAAGAAATGAACCAAATCACTAAAAAGACCACCTCAAAATTAGTGAGTATACTGCAAAGTTTGAAGACGTTTACATGAATACCCTTCGAATAATAAGCTTTCACAAATTGTGAAATTACTGATTTTAAAAAAGATTGGTTTTGGTACGCGCGTCCCCAAAACAAAAATTACAGTACATTTCATCGGTAAATATCGCGATTTTCGAAAGCTTATTATTCGAAGGGCATTCATGTAAACGTTTTCAAACTTTGTATACTTACTAATTTCGAGGTGGTCTTTTTAGTGATTTGGTTCATTTCTTAATTTGGGCACTTTTTAACACTCGTCCCCAGTCCACTCATCAACTTCGGAATGGCTAATTCCCTCAAACATTTCTGGCAAATTCTTCAAAACTTAGAATTTACCCATGCAAAATTCCTACTGTGATCACAGAAACTTTGATATTGTAAACCAGGTTTAGGAAATACAAAACAATAGACAATTTCCATTATAGACTAATTTTAAAACTATAGGCAAGGAGATGCTAATAAATCACCACAGCTAGAAAGAGCATACTAAAATTAGTAAAATTACAAAGTTTGGTTGCGAAATGTTGTAAAATGCGGAAAATATAGCCTTGCAAAGTTCGCAAATTTTGTATACTTTTGTATTGCGTGCGGAAATTCCTACCACATTTGGGCCGAAAATGGTAGCAATTTCCGCACGCAATACAAAAGTATACAAAATTTTCAAACTTTGCAAGGCTATATTTTCCGCATTTTACAACATTTCGCAACCAAACTTTGCAGATTTACTCATTTTAATATGCTCTTTCTAGCTGTGGTGATTTATTTGCATCTCCTTGCCTAGTTTTAAAATTAGTCTATAATGGGAATTGTCTGTTGTCAGCAGAAACTTACTTGCTCAGTCAATGCAGCATCTTTTTCTAAGAACTGTACAACACAATATGCTAACTATAAACGAGAAATAAAGAATATGTTTTGATTTCAAACTTTCAATTACAAAAATACAGGCATCATTAAAATGTGCGAGCCAACAGCTAGGGTAAGCATGTTTTAAAATCTCGAAGTATAAATACCTGAGCATGATATAATCCTAAACATCTGACTTTATGAAGAGGAATCAAAACTTTATTTAGAAACTGTTTGTGCTCCACTTTGAGTGGCAGTGCAAATCCATTGATAATACTAGACAAATCACAAATCATAGGATTAATAACAACATATGTTTCAGGGGCATCATATTGCGCCGAATACTCTTACAAGATAACACTACTGTATAGTACTAACTACTGTACATAAGACAAAAATACAAAGTCTATCTACATTAAAGCTGTGTAAACTCCTGTTATTTTAGCTCCGGCAGTAAGTATTTCAGTGTAATTTCAGAATATGTTTTATTCCTTTTTGAGCTTTCCCCTTTACTTATCAAATATACGGTGTCACTGCTTCGGAGCTTGTTTAAACAAAGTTTTGTAGAAAATAAAACTGCATGGCAGCGTGGTATTTTTGCCCAAAATACATTGGGGTCAGCAAATTTTTGTATAAAAAGCGATAGCAATGCGCTTGCAGAATTTTCGAAGCCATGAATAGGATCGGAGAAAGTAATTAAATTTTATAGTAACTTCAAATCATTCAACTTAATTTTTCCATTACTAAAAGTTCATTGAAATATGAACTAATTCTCAACTCCAGCTCCGGCAAAATATGCTGGGGGTCCGGCTCCGGCACACAGCTCTAATTGACATGAGATCATTAAAATACAAAGTCTATTTACATGACATAATTAAAATATAGTTTCGAAGGCAGAGAGTTCCAAAGGCTGGATGCACAAATCGAGAATGCCCTATCATCGTACGATACAGTGTTTGACTTAGATGAAAACAACAAATTCTGGCTAGAAGATCTACAGACATATCTACTAAAAGAGTACAAGATGGCTTATAACCCTACAGTAACTGACATATGAAGTCTGCCACCAAGCCTATGAAATGATTTCAGATTTACAATGATTAAATTTTGATCGAACAAAATCCATTAGTACAGTATAGCTGATTCTGGAAAGAACATCTTAAAATGAGTAAAATTGCAAAGTTTGGTTGTGAATTGTTATATATACAGTATATACAAAATTTGTGAACTTCACAGGACTATATTTTCTTCATTTTACAACATTTTTTCTTCATTTTACAACATTTAGCAACCAATCTTTGCAGTTTTACTCATTCTAACTCTAAGACGCTCTTTCTAGCTGTGGTGTTGGCTTTCGTTCTTCTTGCCTTGATCAAAATTTAGTCTATATCTGGAATTACCCATTGGTGGGACCTTATAATTCTGTACTTCACTAGGAGCCATTTTAGTAGATACATATCTGTCTAGAGATAAAATCTGATTCGACATCGAAAAAGCATGCATAATTAATTACCTTCCTAAAATTTCTAACAGTTCTCCAACTCCATTAAAATGTTCAGTTTCATAAATAAACCTGTTAATGAAAAATAGATAGGTTTACACCTGTTTTCAAAACAGCTACAGTAGAGTTGACGTGGCAGTTTCATGTCACACGGTCACAAAGTTCAAAATGTTTACAACCTTGAGTTTTGCGACTCGTTATCGATGTTGTGCATTGTTATGCTGTACTTTTAAATATAAAAAAAGTTTAAAAGGATTTTTAAGATATTTTCATGATAATTATTGCAAAATTTAAGCACAAAAAAATCATCATATTACAGACATAGGGTTTGATACACCATTACTGTCGTTCCAATTGAAGTGTTCCTCAAATATTGATTCAATACATTACCTCGGGCTGACCAATTCATTTCATCAAGTTCCTCGAAATATTCATACACTTCCTAGTATAATTGTAAACTTCCTGTTGAATAGTTTGAATGCACCAATCACCTTTGTTGTTTGTGCAACTAACCAATCATAAATAGAAAGGAAGTGACCAGAAATGATCAAATTCTTGGAATTGGCTCTTTCACAGGAAGTGTATGAATATATCGAGGAACTTGATGAAATGAATTGGTCAGCCTGAGGTAATGTATTGAATCAATATTTGAGAAACACTTCAATTGGAACGACAGTAAATTCGATGTTAATTTAAATTGTTCTTTTTTCAAACTTTACAAGTGATTCACAACATAGAATATAGATGTTTTTGTTGATGGTTTGTTGTCTCTTTTAGTTTGAATATCCAGCTCATTTTGGTTCAATATTCTTCTCTAAGTATTAAAAAACGGTTTAGAAATGTCTTTTGTTTACATTTGTTATTTTTACCACTCTGCATGACATAAAACTGATATTTGAGCTAAGATTATTTTGGGGGGAAGATTAGAAGATCATTTCCAGATGCAAGTATTCATTGAAATTCTTGCAAGTTCATCGCCCACACGACTGGCAATAAATGAGATGCTTCTTTGCAGATTACAATCTACGCAACTAAAAGTTCTGGGAATTAAAATTCTTGGAAATTTTTTGAAGCATGAAATCAGAACCAAACAATTTTAGGTATTTACCATATTAATGCAAGTTAAAATTGCCATAAATGTTGAAAATTTCAGTATGCTTGTGGTCAAAGCCATTTTAGGAAAACGTTGCTGAATTTTCCTAGAGCCTAGAGGTTGTGGTCATTTTCCAGAGAGTGGGGGTTACCCCCAGAAAACCCAGATACTGTAGACGATTTTTTTAACTTACTTCAAGAAAATGTGGTTAATTTGTTTACGAATGAACGCTCGCAATCCAAGGAACTTCCCGTAGATCCTATGTAGGACGGTTTTCAGGAAATCCCGTTCCCTCGGGTCTTCGCTGTCGAAAAGTTCTAGAAGCTGGGAGATAAAAATTCAACACACGTTACTAAGATGAGAAAAACACACAAGTTATGACCTTGATTATGACCTTTTATGTATTTGATGATGAACAGTTGCAAATATAAACATTGTCTATTCTCACGAGAAACTACCGTATTTTTGGTAGCTCTGTGTTACTCTGAGTATCTTCACACTGGGCTAGCTGGAAAAATGTTTCACCGTAGTGGGAATCAAACCGCAAACTTTGAACATTCAATTCCAACTGCAGTGTGGAGATACAGTTGAATCTGTATTAAGCAGTACCACATCAAAGGACATTGGCAATATAAAAAGTTTAGTTCATTTGAAAGAGAAGTAATGGAATCCGGCGATGTGTTGCAAAAATAAGAGATGGAATCACAGGTAAGAGAAGTGATGGAATCCGGCGATGTGTTGCAAAAATTTGCACAATTTAATGGACACGAGAGCTTTTGTCATATCGACGGTTGAGCCAAACCAAATTAGCATGCCGCAACAGCTAAACTTTGCGTGGCTTTGTATTTGTCATGTTCAGTTCATGATTGTATTAAGAATCAGTAACACACTTTTTAACCACAATACGTGGATCTGCAATGGGTGGTAACCCTGTATTAATCGGTCACATGCAAAATCCCGAGGCCAAGGGTGGGTTGACTACAAAATTTTTGTAGTTCGCTATAACTACAGCTTCTTCAAAAATATGCTACTTTTGAAACAAAGGTAGTTCGCTGACTACAGCTACTGGTTAAAAAATGTAGCGAACTATTTCGCTAATGTACATTTTTTAGTTTTACTGTATTTGGAGCATCTACTATTAACTCAGGCTGTAATGTAACCTATAACAAATCGACTTACAAGTAGCAACAGACAACAGTAAACACAAAGCAACATTTTTGTAAGCACTACAGTGTTCAGGAGTGCAAATTGGCTATTGATTTTAAGCAGACCGTGTCTCAGTATCATGCTATTCTATCAAGTTGCTAACAATTTTAAAAAGTAGCGAATAGCGATTCGCTGTTTGAAAAGTAGCCAACTACTTGGCTACTTTTAGGCAAAATGTAGTTCGCTATAACTACAGCTACTGTTTTAAAAAAGTAGTCAAAAACTAATGGCTACTTGAAAATTGTAGTTCGCTACATTAGCGAACTACAACTACTTCGCTACTACCTGTTGCAAATCCCTTGAGGGAACTTGCAATGTCCCTATCGGCTGTTGCAATATTGCAATGTAAACAAACTTCATTTCAAATTTTCCTAACTTCCCGTATTAATTTCCTGACTTCCTGTTCTGAGCATTGTGATTGGTGGATTATTTTTGTTAGTCAATTGCAACACACAGAACAGAACAGAACAGGAATTTAGGAACTTCTAACAGGAACTGAGGAAAATTTAATCGGTTTTTAGCAACATTGCAAATTCCATCAAGGGATTTTAAAAAAAGCAAGGACATTTTTTAAATTGCAAAGCTAATGAGGAAAATTGCGATCAATTTTGAAACTCAAAAGAGGAACCTTGACGTTAAGGGTTCAACATGTTTGGTTGATTGGATTAAAACCTGTCAAATACTCTTGACAAACATAAAAGTTTCACACAAAAGACCATTTTTATTTCCAACTGTTCATCCCTAAATAAATTATGGTATCGGCCACTCACTTGAAGAACGAATTTTTGATCGATATGCTTCTTGGCAATGGTAGGTTGAAATTCTGGTGACTCGAGGAATCGGAGAAAAAATTCATAGACTATCTGTAGGTGGGGCCAAGATGCCTCCAACGTGGGATCGTCTTCCTCTGGGTCAAAATCGGGATTTTCCGATGGAGGAAGCGTTCGGAATATATTGTACGCCACCTGCAAAAAACACACTCACATGCTTACGACGTTCATAGATGTTGCCGATTCCCAAAATTTTAGCCAACTGTGATATCGCTGCTTATTTCTCAAAAATATAAACAAAAATATTTCCTCTTACCGAAGAAATGTGAAGGGTAAGATTTCTTGCATTAACATAAATTTTACAGGACATTCTTTCATTACGTTTATGGCAAACCGCTAACCGCAAATTTCGGATTGTATTTTAGGGTAAACTGTTAGCTGTTCAAAGTTACGGCAATTTGTGCAAGAAAATTGAACGATTAGTTAGCCACTTAGCTGTCGAGAATCAGGACTTAAAAAATCAGAAATGCCATATGAGGTTGTATGCTCTACCGTATACTAAGTTGCACTATCCCCTTTGGACTTATAACTTGTAAATATTTCTTCTATATTGTGTCCAATAAAGCTGATAGACAATAAGAATATTAAAAAAAAGAAGTGGTCGTACTTGTCTTAAAGGTTTGCAAGTCAAGCTAATTTCTGTGTACAATCGTACGTCCGTACGCCTATTTTCTAAACCCTGCACAAATGGCAAACTTCAAATTGTATTTCGGGGTAAACTGTTAGCTGTTCAAAGTTATGGCAGTTTGTGTGCTAAAATTGAAGGATGAGTTAGCTATTTGAGGAGAACCTCCGATGCACCCCAGGTGGGTGGTATCTTCGGCACAAAATTGCTGCCTACTACTTTTTTTGAAAAGACTCCCATCCAAAACAGTATACAAGGCTACAAGCCAATCAAGCTTTCTCAGGACTAGCAGCTGGCTTGCTCGTATCATATAAATGCCCCCCTTGATGAAATCACTTGTCAGTGTGAATATATATTCTTGGAACACAACTTTGCTTCTCAAAATTAATCTTTGCAACATCATTTGTTTTGCAGTGAGAACATTTCACAAATAACTTTTTTTGAAAATCGTTTTGACAGCATTAGGTGAGAAGCAAATTAAGTAATTTCAAATTTCAATTGAGCAAATACTAAATTACTAAATGTGATGTAAAATTGAAATTTTACTATGAGGGCTGAGAAGTTTTAGAGGTTTAATACTCTGAAAGAACTGGCTGTCAGGATTGCTTAATTGTAATCAGCATTTTTAAATCATGTTTATAGAAAACAGAAATTAGTGTTTTTATTCGGCCACAATTTTACAAGCAAATTAACGTACACATTTCTGCATTTACAATAAACTTAAATACGTCAAAGAGGAAGTTCTTTAGCAGTATATTCTCATGAAACTGGGCTAAAATTCACCAGGAAAGAACCACGATTCTTGTGGGCGTCAAGATTACAGGGACATTTCAAAAATTGATTGTATTTTTTCGAATTTAAATGACTTAACCTGTGGCTAACTCGCTCACAAAACAGCATACGTTTTGCGTGTAAACAATGCATCTTATACGTTCAAAATAACATTTTAAATTGTACGTTTTAACAAGATATCCTAACCTCGATGCCGTTCGGACCTTTCAAGGCTGGGAATTAAACAGAACTCGCATATGTGAATTGCTATTTAACCTGTGACAACATGATTGCGAAATGAAATGGGTTTTGCACATTAGTGAATTTTTGAAGTATTTGTTTCCTGTTTTGAAGCAAGCGAAAGCATGCATGATAATTTCACGAAATTAGGAAAGCTTTTCACGGTCTTTTGTGCCGTTTAAACGTACAGAAACCCTTTCAGGTTCTGGGGAAAATGCGAACAAATGTTTGAAATTCATTCGATAAGGCAGCACCGAGTAATTACAAGATACAATGGCGGATGCCTTTTGAAAACATGCCATTAATTTGCCCTACCGTGTTCACGATGTCTGGATAAACTGGTTCGGAAAGCACCCCTCTTCCAGACGTTATATAATCGACAAGTTCGTTCAGTGTGGATCGCTTTATTTCCTTCCCTTTTAGGTCGCTTACGGGATCCATGAAATCGAAGATGACACAACATTGCTTCAGTTTTTTGACGAATAATTCTTGTTGTTCGGTCGTATTCGTTTCTAAAGCGGAGAGGAAACAAATATTGACGAACAACAAAAACACACGAGGTGCATTTCGGCAAATAAATACGGCAAAATAGCGTACGTTTACTATACCTTTTAGCAGCGGCAAATTCTGTAATTCGACATTTACGTCGGTGCGAAATTTCGAGGAGCCTTGTTGTTTTCGCTGGACTCCTTTCGGAGGCTTTCGAAGCGATTTACGATGAAATGGATCGGCATGAGGGGAGGTACTGTTGGCCGTGGCACTCGTCCCTGCTGCCGGCCGCTTCTAGTAAGGAAAAGCAAGCGAATACAATGTGAGTATGTTTATTCAACGAACCCAACAACATCGTAACAACGGCTCGATAAAGCGATCGAAATGCTGTCACTCACCTCCGCCAAATCGGCCATTTCCATTTGGCAACACAACGTTGTTATTTCCCCTTAAAAGGCCGGCACGATCGGCTAGACCTAAGACGGTAGAATTAAGGGGAAAACAACGGAAAATCTGCAGTAATTCTTCGCTTTCCTAGCTGCATATAAACTTCCTTCGACGCGTGCAAAATTCCACCAATAAACAAACCCCGCCTGATTGGCCCGCACACCACCGCCGGATTCTCGTTGCCCGGATGATGACGTCAGCATCAGGCTTTTCTAGAGGTTTTCAAAAGGTCTCAAAACTGCATTTTGGCACGAAAATACCCCCCGATTTTTTGTTAGACTACAGGGGCGGGTCTGCCGTGGTGGTGCAGGGGGGTGCGCACTACACCTAGTAGTGTCTAGCACTCCCCCCCCCTACAGAAGTCCAGCACCACCCTAAAAAATTCTGCCTGATCATACATTTTCTCCGTTTCGAATAGCGATTAGCGGAACTCCACTGTTTATAGCGCGTGTCGATTTCTTGAAAAGATTTACATAATTGATTTGTGAGCTCACGATAAAATACTCGTATCGTAAAAATCGTATTGTAAAAATTTATTTCTGAAGACGCTAGCCTCATGATCCTCATCAATATACGTTGGTTTTCATGAGGGGCGTCGTCAATTTATATACAAAGTATTTGCAAGAAAATACGTAGAAACAAAGAAAAACTATTTACAAGAGTACATGCTGAATACAGGAGGTGTGACCCATACATTAACATTAGAAACAGAATCAAAGATTAATATTTTCCGTTGAAAATATGGATTGACTCTTTTGCTTCCCGAGAAAGGCTATTCCAAAGCTTTGCCCCGCTGTATTTAAACCTTTTTTTAGGAATCCCCTTCTCGGTTTTGGGAGAGCTAAATCAGTATAGGCTATAGCTATTTCTTAATCAAAGTTATAGTTCGTTAAACTACTCCCAATCAATGACTCTTTCAAGTTAGTTAAATATTATTGGCCCTCTGGGCTTTGGCAGGAATTAGGAATTAAATTAAGGGGTTGATTACATGGCGAGTTTTCAACCCGGTCTGAATTTCAACGCGGTTAACCGAGCTAAAATCAGTCTCACGATTACATGGCAAATTTCAGCCCGAGGTGAGTTGGAATTTCAGGGGTTTTTTTCGAAAAATTTCAGTTATGAGTTAAATGTTGTTCATGTCTATTATTTGACTTCTGCGAGCGAGTCTGTGGTTACATTCAAAAATAGAACAGACACAGAAATAAAGACACTTAAGTCCTCTCCAAATTAGACCGTCCGGCCCTTATTTCAAATTACACGCGGACGGGCGGCTATTTCCATTATCCATTATCGGTGTCTGAAAGAATCTGACACGACCATTCATTATTCCATGAAATAGAAACACGTTTCGATTCAGCCACGTTTCTGCGGAATGTTTTTGATTATTTGTACGCAGAAATGAAAGCCAGGATATTAACCTTATCCTTTTTTTCGTTCGAGAATCAAAGCGTGTAACGGACGTGTCTAGCTCAACGGTTACTCAGTGTAGAATAAGTATTAAAAAACGAACAAAAACAATGATTCACGCTTTTTCACGTAAAAGTTTCAACAATTTTATTTTGATTTTTACGTATTACGTGGTGTTCACAAAACGTATTATAGGATTTATCGCCATGTAATCCTACAATGAACTTAAATATGTATTTCCTGAAAGATTGAGTTTCAGCCCGCTTCAACCGGTCTGAAACTCAAAGACTGGAAGTTTTTCGCTGTCAATAACGTCGCTTCACAGACGACGAATGTTCCTGACTCAGACTCAAAGGTTTCAGTATAAGAAGATAAGTTGCATAAGAGTGAAGAGAAGGTAAATTAGGAGAGTCCATCAAGGTCCATCAACACCCAAAAAAAGAAAGACAAGCCGTCAAACCAGGACAGTTTCAATTCAAATGTATTCGCAGGCTATTTTTAAATTAATATATAAATATATACGATAGCTTTTTTTGGAAAGATGTAATTACAGTAATGCATTTGATATTATAACATTTATTATTGGTTTGTCACTCTTTTATAAACAATGTTTGAAAATGATACAATGAATGATCCAGTGGAATGATCACATGAACTTGAATTCGCACAAAGCATTCAGACAAAACTCCAGTTTTAGTTTTAATGCGTTTACCTCTCTGAAGTGGGCCTATGGACGAATGGCGTGGGATTCTTCACCCCGTAAGGTCTGCCCCCAAACAAGTCAAAGCTCCGCTGGCTTGTGAATCAGCCAGTGGCGTAGTGTAGTAGTAATATGAGAGACCTTACGATTTTAGGACGGCAACGCGACGGCGACGGCCAAAGCAAACTCCTTCAAATAAATGGTAGTAAATATAGTTCGTCGTATATTATCAATCGTATGCATTTAATGTAGTCTTAGAAGCTGAAGACATGGGTTTTATGGTTGGGAAGAGTTCTGCTGAGCCCAGTTTGAAGTTGCACTTGTTGCGGCTTGAACTACAGCCGTTGTATCAAGACGTGAAAATCTGTGATTTGGCGTTGACTTGTAAGCAAGCGAGGACAATGTCTAAATTATTCATATATTGTAATCACTCAATTCTTTTCAATAATCTATTTTATTATGTATTGATAGCCGTTGGCGTCGCGTTGCCGTCCTAAATCGTATAAGGTCTCTACTGGCGAGCGGCTGGCACATTTTTTTTGGCCCCTAATGCGCGGGGCCACTTGAGGGGACGGGGCCAGTGGCATATGCCGCTTCTTCGTCACAGGGCTGAAATTTCAGCTCGGGAAACCGGAATGCAACACACCCCAGGCTGAAACTCTCCATGTAATCTTCTAACTGCGACGGAAAACAGCTGTAGTCTACTGACGCGCCAACGAAAAGTGAGAGTCCGCTATCTATTAATTACAAAATCGAACATTTATGCGGGGGAGTACGTTGCGATACGCATCTATAAAAAAACTTTGCAAACTGAAAAATGAACAAATGCAACGAATTCATAGGCTACAGATTAATAACATTAATAAACCGCACATGGCAAATGTATGTATCTGACTATAAGAAACAGTGTTTTAGCGCGCAGAGACACACTAGAACTTTCTAATTGCTATTCTTAGGAAATAATGACAGCTCCTGTCCTGACGTTTAATCCCTATGCGCATATACACAGCTGTATTTGATAAACTATGCCGGTGAATATTATTATATGCTGAAACAGCATGATCCAGAAGAGTAGTGCCTGCACGTAGACTCTGTTGAATCGATATAAAGCAGCTGCGTAACAGCGACAGGAATCTAGTCTTGCCAGCAATCTTGTCACCAGGGCATTTTGCCCCCACGGCTGAGGGTCGGCGAAAATGGCTCTGGGATCAGCTCATTCCCGTACCCAGAGCCCTTCTTACGCGCGGTGCGACGAGGGGCTCTGGCCAAATCCATATTCCGAACTGGCATCTGATTGGCTAGTTCTAACACCGGACATTGTGCTCTGGCCAAATCCATATTCCGAACTGCCATCTGATTGGCTAGTTCTAACACCGGACATTGTTTTCTCACCATGTTTTTATAGTATCCGGTTATGGATTTGGCCAGAGCCCCTCGTCGCACCGCGCGTAAGAAGGGCTCTGGGTACGAGAATGGGATCGGCTGATCAATTTTACAATAATTTATTCAAGAAACTCTGGTGCTTTGTCCTCAAACTGTTTTGTTCTAAAATTATACGGTAAACCTAGGAAAATACCAAGACCATTAGACCAAGTTCGCAAGCAAGTTCGCAAATTGCAAACGATCTTGGCGATAAATTTTAGAAACTAAACATAATAATAATAATTTCAGTTTTTAAAATTATAATAAGTTTAATACAATAAGTTTAGTTTTTAAAATTTACCGCCAAAATCGTTTGCAATTTGCGACCTTGCTTGGGAACTTGGTTCGGAATTTCATCACGAATTTCGATAATTTGATGCGAAACTTCCGAATTTGATTGGCCGGTTTCCAATCAACTTGATGACCTCGTGTTTATAGTCCCCAAATTCCCAACCAACCTCGCAATTGGCGCGGCCAAAGTTTCGTGAAATCAACTGTAAAATTAAGTCTTTAGATAAAATTAAGTCTTTAGACCGACAAGTTGGCAACTGTTCACTTCTAATTTATTATTCGTAAACAAACAACAACAAAGATTTAATTTCACATAAATTATTATATCAAAACACCCAGAAATTCTGGGCGTCGTGTGACCAGCCGATTCCAGGGCCATTTCTCCGACCTTCAGCCGTGAAGGCAAAATGTCCTCGGGACAAGGTTGTGGAGAGGTTTAAACCACACGAGTGGGGGAGGCTAATAGGCCGGGGGCATGGTTTTATGATAATCTGAAAACCACATATTTGGGTTTTTTTTATATCATAGATGAAAACATTGCGACGTTACAACTCCCTGGGTTCTCGCTAATTTTGAAATAATTACAAAATTGGTCCTGAAAAACACATGTAATTATACTTTATAAAAAAGACATATTTATATATAATTTGTCAATTATTTGTTATATACAGCATACCTGCACTACATTGTGTGATAATTTGCGCAATATATGCACTATTAACTATTTAGGACATGAGCGACCGTCGCAAATGTTATAGATGGCTTGTGAAACGTCTTGATGAGAACATTAATATTCAGGGCATTTTTTAACTATTTAAAACACGACTGGCTGCTGGAGTGCAGTTATGAGATATAAAACACGAGGGCGTATAATGCGGCGTAACTCGAGCAGATGGTTCTTAAAAAGAACCATCTGAATCTGACGAGTTTTATATTGGCCAAGTAATTTTAAAAATAAACGTTGTCTTCGACCGATTTTAAGCTTCGCGTTATCAAGTCAAACGGCGAACGCCAGGCAAAGAAAAATTTTACGGTGTCAGGTAAAAAGAGTAAATAAACTTGTTGTTTTAAAACTGAAATGCATAATTATTCTTTCGACGCAAGAAAGAAAATATGAAACGGAACGTTCAGAGAAAAGTTTGCCAAGGAAGTTCGAACCTGCCGTTCCCGGAAACGTGAAGCTTAAATTCCCTAATAATAATTTACAAATCTATTCACAGTAATAGTATAAACAGTCAAATTATTTCAGTTACCCGATTCTACAGTAATAAGTTCAAAGTCACGATACGATGTTAACTTTATCCCACGATGAATATCATCAGAAAAAGTCATCAGACTGTTTATAAATCCGGGGGCTTTTGAGGCCAAGTTTTTGTTGCAACACACGAAGTTTGGAAAAAATAACATCATGCTCGAAAAACGTTCCCTGCAACCACCTCGCCGCCGACACTGACGTCTCTCCGATCACCTCATACGCGCTTCGGCCATGCATCACTCGTGTGTTTTGAAACAGTGCGACTTGCCCGGGCTGCAGTCGAAAGTCGACGACGTTCTCAGATTTGTAGAGCAGTTTTGTAAGCTGGTAGTACGCGTCGTAGAACGCCAGGACTTCGCTAGGGCTGTAGTCGTTCTGAGTTTCTGACATCACGAAGTGACTGCATTGAAAATGTTCAACACGTCCAAACTTGTTCAGCCTAAAACAAAGAAAAAACCACGTCCTTTATTGGACGAACTGTACTGTGGTTACGAAGGAATGCACAGAGATCACTTGAGTTCGATTTTTGCAATGTCCAGTTAGATTTCGCCCCAAGTTTAAGAAAAATGCTTCTAGTTCGTCCTTTCCAAATGACACAAGTTCTCTTCAGAACTTCTTATTCCTCCCGTAGTAACACTGAATCAATAAGACATGATCCTTACTGGACCTCTAGGAAGAACAGTTTAGAACTGATAAAGCTATCCAGTATAAACAAAGTTAGTTTAGTTCGGGTTTCCTCCTGCAGTAACATTGTGTCAATATGAAATAATCCTTACTGGACCTCAAGAAAGAACAGTTTAGAACTGATAGAACTTTCCAGTATAAATAGAGTTAGTTTAGTTTAAGTTTCCTCCTGTAGTAACACTGGATAAATAATAGACGACTCTTACAGAACATCTAAGGAGAACAGTTTAGAACTGATATATAGAGCTTTCCAGTATAAATAAAGTTAGCTAAGTCAGTTAGGCAGCTTCTGTAGTAACACTAGCCGACCAATAAAGGACAGTCTTTACTGGATTTCTATGAAGAAGCTCTTGGGCTAAACATACTTGATAATAGGTGCAGAAAATCCGAGAGAGTATTCTCCAAAAGCGTCGTTGCCCTCATCACTATATCGTACATAGAAGTCTGTCAATACATCGAAAGCATCGGGGTTGATTCTCTTCAGTTGTTTCACAACGTTAAATCCATCCACAAACGTACTGCGGCCTCCTTCAGAACTTTGTTGGATACAGTGCAGTGCTTGGATCTATACACGCGTAAAAATTTACATCTTGTAATAAGTCTGTCAACAAGGCGTCAACAAGTTGTGTTCGCACTGCTTGTCCCAAGTTGTCACCAAATATGGAACAACTTGTTAACAGTTGTAGCACCTTTTTGATATTATCAGACAAGTTCGATACAGTCATGATATAACAACATTGTTACAACCTTGTGCCATCAACCTTGTAAGTTGTTAAACATTTTTGTTATATCATGACTGTATCAGGCTTGTTAGAAAAACTTTGCTGCATGCAAGTCTGATAATGCCGTCCAGCTTGTTACAAGCTGTTAACAGCTTGTTCCAAACTTGTTACAACAACTGGGACTGAACAAGCAGTGCGAACACAACTTGTTGACAGTTTGTGAACAGATTTGTGACAACTTGTTTACAGACCTGTAACAACTTGCCAGTGTATTTATACTTTTATTTTCAGGTGTTTCGACCAAATTCACGACACTAACTTATTGCATGTGATCAAGTTACACAAGTAAAAATCTCACAACTTGTCAACAAGATGTGTTCGCAACAGGCTTGTAGCAAGCTTGTCAACAAGTTGCAACAATGTTGTTATTTTATCAAGTCGCTACAAGGTTGTCACTCACAACTTGTTGACAAATTGTTGAATTGCAGGACACAGCACAACACAACACAACACAACACAGCACAGCACAGCACAGCACAACACAACACAACACACAGCACAGCACAACACAACACAACACAACACAGCACAACACAACACACAGCACAACACAACACAGCACAACACAACACAGCACAACACAACACACAGCACAACACAACACACAGCACAGCACAACACACAGCCTGGCCACAACCTGGCCTGGCTTACACAGACCTGGCACAACCACCTGGCCTGGCCTGGCCTAACCCCTGGCCTAACCTGGCCTGGCCACAGCCTGGCCTGGCCTGGCACTGCTTTACAACCTGGCCTGGCCTGGCCACAACCCCACAACACAACCTGGCCTGGCCTGGCCTGGCCCACCAGCCTGGCCTGGCCTGACCTGGCCTGGCCTGGCCTGGCCTGGCCTGGCCTGGCCTGGCACAACCTGGCTTGGCCTGGCCTGGCCTGGCCTGGCCCACAGGCACCAGCTGGCCTGAGCTGGCCTGGCCTGGCCCTACAGCCTGGCCTGGCCTGGCCTGGCCTGACCCACCTGGCCCTGGCCTGGCCTGGCTTACAACCTGGCCCAACACAACACAACACAACACAACACAACACAACACAACACAGCACAGCACAGCACAGCACAGCACAACGCAGCACAACACAACGCAACACAACACAACACAACACACAGCACAGCACAGCACAACACAACACATAGCACAGCACAACACAACACACAGCACAGCATAACATAACATAACACAACACAACACAGCACAACGCAGCACAACGCAGCACAACGCAGCACAACACAACGCAACGCAACATAACATAACAATTACTTACAGTAGGTGTAGTGCTGTAATAAGGCAAGTCAGTGTGAAAATGTAAAAACTTCGCAGTTGAACCCAAGTGAGTAGGATCGTCCTCGATTTTGACGTCCCAATATTCTCTATAATAAGCAAATCAAACTAACTTTATTTATACTGGATAGCTTTATCAGTTCTAAACTGTTCCTCCTAGAGGTTCAGTAAGAGTCATCTCTTATTGATCTTATTGATTCAGTGTTACTATAGAAGGAAACCTAAACTAAACTAACTTTATTTATACTGGATAGCTCTATAAGTTCTAAACTGTTCCTCCTAGAGGTCCAGTAAGGGTCATCTTTTATTGATCCAGTGTTACTACAGGAGGAAACCTAAACTAAACTATCTTTTTTTATACTGGATAGCTCTAGAGGTTCCTCATCTCTAATTGATCCAGTGTTACTACAGGAGTAAACCCAAGCTAAAACTAAACTAACATTAACCTTATTTAATTAAATTGAGTAGCTCTATCAGTTTCAATGCTGTTATTTGATCAATTAGATGCTACAAGGTTGTCACTCACAACTTGTTGACAAATTGTCGAACTTCAGGACGATAAAAAATTGTTGGAACAACTTGTAACAAGTCTGTTGAGCTCAAAAGCCTTGTAGCAAGTTGTCAACCAGCTGGGAACAAGCAGTGCGAACACATCCTGTTAACAAGTTGTTGGAACAGCATTGCTACAAGTCTGCTGCAGGTTTGTTAAAACTTGTGTGTTTTTACGTGTGTAGATGATAAATTACCCCAGATGTGTTCTTCTATTCCAGCCAATTCTGGCAGCCATTTCCATGATTACACCATCTTTTGCAGGAGCGTGGTTGACCAGCACCAGGCCATGTTGATACAAAGCATACAGAAAATCAAATAGATTCTTATCATCCTTCATCAAACCACTGTAGTCATGAGATGGCACCTTGTCTTGCAATTTCGCTCTGTCCCACAAAATTAACTCATCTTTAATCAGACTGTCAAAGTTTCGAGGCCTTGTTTCGTTACCTTAATGTTTGAATGTTTTAAAAAAGGAATTTAAATCTACATTAAAAAGCTCATTAACAATGCATCAATGTGAAAAAGACAAAGAGAATTACTGCAGTGTTGGTGGTTTTATATGTGATAAAAAATCATGTTAATAATATACATAAGTTTAGCATTCATTTTCTTAGCTTACTTAGACAACGTTTATTTTTAAAATTACTTCGCCAATAAACTCATCAGATGGGTCGTACAAGCAGTGGAGTGCTTTATGACATGTAAAACACTCGAGCAACACTCTCGTGTTTTATTATCTGATAAAGCACCCCCGCACCTCGTGTTTTAAATAGTATACTTGTAATTTTCATTGTGAAAACATTATTATATAATAACTACAGTGAAACACGCAATTTGATTGGTCAATAGCCGTTCAGGATCAGGCTATCCTGCACGAGGAATTAAAATGCCTTCGCGGGATTCTCAAAATATCATTGTTTCACTGTAGTTATTTTATAAAACAATTACCAAATGGGTTTTCCTAGCAGGATAGCGTGATCCATGCACTTCGGATGTTGCTCGACTTTCGGAAAGCATAAAAATACACTCGCCTGCGGCTCGAGTATTTTTACGCTTTCCGAAAGTCTCGCGACATCCCTCGTGCATGCATGGATTACGCAATCCTGCACGAAAAACCATTCGGTATTCCTTTACCAATTCATGAAGAAAACACAAAAGAAATCATGAACGTGAAGGAGTTTGTATATCTGATACAAAATCATGCTGATTTACATAAATTTTAAGTTCAATTTTCACACCAAATATCGTTCATTTATTTTATAAAATTGTTGAAGAATGTTCTCATCAAGACGTTTCACGAGGGGGCGAGCCATTTAGACATTCGCGTCCGATACAACAATATTATATCCATTTCTTGGCAACCTCGTGCCCAGGGCATTTTGCTTCTGATCAGCGAAAATGGCCCTGGCATCGGCCGGTCACATGACCTCAAAATCTCCAGTATTTGGGGTGTTCAATTATGATAATATATGCGTATAAGTACGTATATATAATAATTATACACATTGTAATTACTGACAGGAGTAAACAAACTCAATGCTGCGTATATCAAAGGGAAAGCAACAAAATTAGTTGAATTTATTCGGTTTTCGTTGTTCACACTTCATTCAGCAACATAGCCCGTAATATTGATGATTTTTAAACATAACGTAATAAGTAACTAAACAAAACAAAACCGCTTCAGCGTTTGGTTTATATAAATCGTGTTTAATATGACCAAAATATATTTGTATCACAATCTTTATTTGACTATAACGCTGTATGTTTCTTCGGAAATCAACGATGTGTAAACAACGCATGTGAGAAATATATGTTGAACCGAAGCAAATATTCGTCTATACAAAATATACAAAGACTTAATTTGGACCAAATTGTTTTGTGATGTGTTGTCTTTCCCTAATTCATGCTGTATCTCAAGCGAAATGTCAAAAATCTTATTTGCTCAATACTTTAGTCCATCAAGAACTAATTATAAATTTGTCACTCCACTCTCGTTCCACCAAACATAATAATTATTCCCACATATATTGAATAATTACATTCAAAATCATTGACCAATCAGGTTGCAAAACATACCGGCCGAAGCCAGGGCCTTTTTCGCTGACCATCCAACCGCGGAAGCAAAAAGCCCTGGGTACGAGGTTGCATTTCTTGGCTAATTTTAACCAGACTGTTTTTGGAGTGTATTTTCATTTTTCCCACCAAAAATATATCATTCATATCTTTCTTTAACTTAAGATTATTGACGATCTGTTCCAACGACTTGTCAACAGGATCATGTGTTCGCACTGCTTGTTCCCAGCTTGTTGACAAGTTGTCAAAGGCTTGTTGACAACTTGCTACAAGCCTACAAGGTTGTTGGTTCAACAGACTCGTTACAAGTTGTTCCAACAACTTCTTATCGTCCTGCAACTCAATAATTTGTCAACAAGTTGTGAGTGGCAACCTTGTAGCAACTTGATGAAGTAACAACATTGTCACAACTTGTTGACAGGCTTGCTACAAGCCTGGTACGAACACATCTTGTTGACAAGTTGTGAGATTTTTACGTGTGTTCAAGTATAGCACAAATTAATGATTACCTTCACGCATCCGCGTGTCGCGAAGCCAATCTTGCGTGTACATGCTCTCGTGCCCGTTAGGCCACAAACATTTGAGGGTTAGACCATCTTTAGAAAGGCTTGCTTTCTTCACTTCAATATCCAAGCCAATATCTGCCACAGTGTGTAAGATATGCTGCTTGCTTGCGTTGTCGAAGCACTCAGGGCATCTGCAGTTATCTCGTAGGAATATATATGGAAATCGCGAGGACGTGCCGTCATTCCAGGCAATTTTTAGATATCTTTTTTCATCACCTTTAGACACGTTTTGTATCAAAGGTTTTGGAGCGCTTGCAGTGATATCATCTAGAACAATTGGAATTTAATTATTTATTATATACAGACGTCAAATCGCGTCATTGTCATCTTGTTACAAGGTTGATGACGGTGATTGACAGACTTGCTACAAGTTGTTCCAACAAGACTAATACAGGCTGTTTGTAACAAGTTGCTACGAACTTGTTGTCATCAACTTGTTAACAACTTGTTACGTGCAGACGATATCAGACTTGTTGGAACAACTTGTTGCAAGTCTGTTGGTCTCATCAACCTTGTTACAAGATGACAACAACTTGTTCCAGACTTTATAACAAACGTACTTGCAGGGAGGTGAGTCCGGGATTGGACGCACCGAGGGTGGCTGGAAGTTTCCCGAACTTACCGAGCGAAGCGAGGTGAGTTCGGGAAACTTCCAGCCACCCGAGGTGCGTCCAATCCCGGACTCACCGAACCTGCAAGTACGTTTGGTTTTTATCCCATACACCGAGCCATACACACATTTGTAGCTCTTCGCGATATATTCGTCGATGTTTTGTGAACATTTTCCCGGCCAAAAAAATCACTGGGCAAGAAAATACTTCTTTAGCTACGTCTACATTACCTTTACTGCATTTTTTCTTTGGTTTTTCTTCAGTCTCAGTATGTTAGTCACCGAAAAAAGTTCTTTAAAGTTTAGGTTAATCGGCTAAATCTTGTCCGCCATATTTGTTATTGTTATTGCAACGTAAGCAGTTTAGCGGGTGAGTTCGGGCGAAAAGCAGGTGAGTTCGGCAAAAAGCAGGTGAGCTCGACGACAAGCTCACCTGCTCTAAACCAATCAGAAAGCCGCTTTTAACACATGTATGGGATAAGTCAATGAGTGGGAACAAGCAGTGCGAATCTTGTTGACAAGCTGTGAGAATTTTACGCGTGTACACACGTAAAACGCACAAGTTGTTCCAGGTCTGCAAACAAGTTGTTACAAATCTGTTCACAAGCTGTCGACAAGTTGTGTTCGCACTGCTTGTTCCCAGTTGTTGTAACGAATTTGGACCAAGCTGTTAACAACTTGTGACAAGCTTGATGGCATTATCTGACTTGTTACAAGGTTGTCCTAACCAGGGCCGCCGAGAGAGGGGGGGGGGGCAGGGGGGGCAAATTGCCCCGGGCCCCGAGTTGCTGGGGGCCCCTGAAAAATTTTTGTTGGGCCCCTGCCTTTTTTGTGTGTTAAATATTTCCGCGCAAAGGACAAGATATCTGTTTTCTTGGGCTAAGTAACGAATTTTGGTATAAAAAATGAGATAAAGTCCCTCGAAAGCAATTGCAACGTACTCGTCCAGAAAAATTTTGTACTCCGGAAAAAAAATTTTACCCCTAAAATGGTACACTGACCGAAATTTTTTTGGCGACGGGGGGGAGGTTGTTCTCTGGGAAAAATATTTTAGATAGGGGCCCCTAAAAAAAAATTTGCCCCGGGCCCCCGCCAACCTCTTGGCGGCCCTGGTCCTAACAAATCTGACACAGTCATGATGTAACAAGGATGTTACAAGGTTGACGACACAAGGTTGTAACAATGCTGTTATATCATGACTGTATCGGGCTTGTTTGAATAACCTTGCAACAAATCTCATAATATCAACAAGGTTGTTGCAAGTTGTTAGCAGCTTGTTCCAAACTTGTTGACAACTTGGGACAAGCAGTGCGAAGACAACTGTTGACGGCTTGTTGGCAGACTTGCTACAAGATGCGAGATTTTTACCCGTGTATTTGGTATTCGTTAAGTTATCAAATACTCAATCATTTGTTGGGAAAAAATACATTCAAATCATGTTGAGTAAAAACATAAAAACATGAAAGTCCAGTTGATCAGCAATTTAAAAAGTAGCTAGCGTTTTTAATTAAACAAGACGCCTGCTCAGGCGTTCACACTGGCCTGAAAATAACGAGATACGTGCTATGGTGCAAAAGGCAGGAATACAAATCTTAAACCGCAAGCAAATTTTATGGACTTTTTAAAAAATAAAAGACCTTTTCGGGTGACGTAATGGAGATCGATGCACGTGCAAATCATGCCGATCTACAGAATCGATTTCCGGTTTTTCCTAACAGCGCGTTGTTTTCATGTGCGTTCCATGGGCCGCGCTAAAAATATAAATATTCTGTAAATACCGAAATAAAAGATGAGAATCTCAAGACACAAGCTTGAAAATAACACTATAAATAGTGTTTTCGATTCTGGTTCCAATAACATTATCACGAAAAAGATATGCCCAAAGGGGCCGAAGTTATGTTCGGCAAAATGTATGGCTAGTTTACATTGTTTGTTGTATTATGAAATATGATACCATACTTGTATTAAAATTCGCGTCGAACTAATGTTATTGTAAATGAGTAGACAGTGTAGACTTGCCACAACTCGACCTCGAACGAAATGCGTTTCTTCGAGGTCGACTTGTGGCAAGTCTAGCAAACGAGAACCATACAAATTATACAATAATGGTTCTAGTTCTTGTTGGTATTTGAACGCACGCTTTATCTTTCAGTATAGCTACCACAAAGCTTTTCGTGCGGATTATATTTCGTGGAGTACTAAATATTATATTTTGTGGTTTTTGAGTCATTACACAAAGAAAAACACATTAATTCAACACGCAAGAAAGTCCAGAGTACGACACAACGTAAAATACATAGGAAACCGGCACAATTCTTTGAAAATTCAACGAAACTGTGTAAAATATAGTTTGATCACTCTGTGAAAAGCCGCCATTGCAGTTCGGAATTGTGCGCGTGCGTACAAGTGTATAGGCTAATAAACGAAAAATGTACCACCAGCATGGCATGAGTCGGCTAGTACGTACATAAATACGTAACTTGTTGCTATTGTATTTGAATCATGGAACGGAGGGAATCGATGGCATTTTGGCTTAATCGTTGCACCTTGAGCCTGCGATGCGCTAACGCAAACTCGATTTCTCGACTACGAAAAAAACAGAAAAAGAGGGATTTAAGACACTTGGCCTACAGGCCAGTGTAATGAAGCTTTCTACGTCAACATACTAACTGTTGCGCGTTAACAATTAATGCGCAACATAGCTACCTTTGACATGTAATTTCGTCTCCATGCGTAAAATTAAACCTTTTAACAATTAAATCAGGAGTTACTTTGTCGAGTTATTGTTGACCAGCATGTTCTTACCTCTTGCCGTCTACCAGGCTAGCCACATTACACAATGCGTACCTATTTTTTATATTTTGAGTATTAAAGGGTATGAGCAACAAATTTATTGCTTCATCTGAGAGTGCATGAAAAAATAAGCCGAATGGCCGTTTAATGCTCTATTCTATCTCATCTAGTTCCGAAGTTATACGCAAAAATTTGCAAAATATAAATTGCTGATTCAGCACAACTTGTGACGTCATTAGTTGGGTAAGTATGTTTAATGAATACTAAACTGCAGCATAGCTCAGTTATTATGGGCCCAAATCAAATGAAATTTTGCATACTGATTGTACATGATGAGACGCATTGAAAAACACTTCTAATTTTGTTGCCAAGGTAACAATGTCGTTCCCAGGCCCCTTGCGCCAATTTTATAAAACAGCTTTATTCATGGTACTTATAAGAATAAAATAATATCAGAAGTATGTGTACCATACCTATGCATGCCAAAAGTTTACTTGCATGATAATAATTCGAAAATGATGTACACATAGATAAATGTAACTAGTTATTCAAAATCAGTGTAAGGGGCCTGGGAACGACTGCGTTGCCTTGACAACAAAATTAGAAGTATTTTTCCATGCGTCTCATCATGTACTATTTGTATGCAAAATTTCATTTGATTTGGGCCCACAATAACTGAGCTATGCTTCAGTTTACTATTCAATAAACGCACTTACCCAACTAATGACGTCACACGTTGTGCTGAATCAGCAATTTATATTTTGCACATTTTTGCGTATAACTTCGGAACCAGATGAGATAGAATAGAGCATTAAACGGCTAATCGGCTTATTTTTTCATGCTCTTTCAGATAAAGCAATAAAATTTTTGTTGCTCATACCCTTAGCTATGACTGATATAGTCAGAGATTTCCTTGCTAAATTTCGACTGTCCAGATCTATACAGGATGCATGTATCATAAAAAAGGTAATCTAATAATGTTGACAGGTTTCTGCTTTCGTGTTTATAAAGATGAGGTTTTTAGCTGTCAAATGACATCTTTATTGAATCATAGCAATAAAAAATCGGTCGGTTGAAATCGCATTTTTCCACCACCGCTAAAAACCTGATCTTTATTGGTATGAAAAAAGGAAATGGATAAACGTAACATATAATGCACACTACCATGCCAAAGTTGGATTGCCTTTTTTTATACACCCTGTATATTGGTTTCAAGGGATACTATTTCTTGAGTTTATAAGTGCGGCCCTTTATGTGTCGAGAAAGAACTGTTTATGCAACAGGCGCAGCCAAGTCAGGCACGCAGCCAATATACCCCATATTTTTAAAAACAAGAACAAATCTGTGACGTTCTTGAGAGGACGTGGAAACACGTCAGTAAATGCAGTCCTAAACACAATGTGAACGACGTCTTAGCCCTTAGCAAACATGCCAAGCCCAGAGTGGCAGAAATTGTGAGTTGCATTTCACCAAGTCGTCAGATTTGGTGAAAAACCGTATACACGCGTAGTGAGCCAAAATCCTATTTCATCACAATGGCCATGGCAAAGTGAAATGTTTTCAAAAAGGAAAGTAAAGGAGAAGTGCACTTGTCTTTAGAGTTTAGATGGATTTCATGATGGATTATCATTTGGGAATTTCAGCCATCATGAATTGCCATCTTGTATCCGTGTAATTCACGCGCGCAATTGATTATACCATGCACGGATGAACAATCAACTCTGCCGGTGCACTTCAAAGCATGCGAGATAAATAGACAAGAAAGCAAGCTTTAAACAATATTTTTGGTGAAGAACTCAGTGACAAAAATCTTGCCGAGTTATGGCTGTTGTTGGAGTGGCGAGCTAGCGGCATGGCAACTGCATCTATAAATACGTTAATTAAAGGCAATGTCAATACATTTATAAAAGTTTAAATAATGCAAACTGTTAATCAATCGGTTTCGAGGCAATATATGTTTATGCTTTGTATTATATACAGCTAATTCAAAAAAGGGACAGAGATATGGTAAATTTAAGGTTTAAAGTTTAAAGGTGATGTAAAGTCCGTAATGCGAACAAACGCTTTGTTTACATTTTCACCTCAGGGCGACAGTTGTTAAATATGATTAGATATATATTATACTGAATTTTTAACACTCTTCTGGTTCGATATGCTTGTAAATGAATACAGACTAATAGAGATTCAATTCATGCAAGAAAGTTCGGCTGAGGTGCGAAATATTAACAACATTCCAATGGTCGGGTCCCGACCATTGGAATGTAGGCCTGCGCAGAATGTATGCGCAGAGCGGACTTTATATCACTTTTAAGGTTTGCATTGGGACAACCTTTTTTGAATTAGCTGTATATCAGGACTGTTACCCAATCGCGTGTCGCTTATTTCTAGCCAGTGTTTCTGGCCATGAAACCGGTAATACGACTATACAAGGTCAACCGCGCCTATATCATACTGTGTTTGGATTTCTGGGTGTGCATATTATATAGCTATACAGTAGTGGTATTCACTTAGGAATATTCTAGGGTTTTTTTCGCCGCTTCTAATTCTTGATAGAGACCTAATACGATGTGGGACGGAAAGTGACGAGGACGTCTATTCATACAATGAGATTCATAATATTTAAGAAAAAAAATGAACAATTAATATCCCACGGGCACGGCAGTTTGAGAATTATCCACAGTTTGTTTACAACAAGACGCGAGATGTGATGCTCAGCCATTAAGCTCAGTACAACAGTCGAACTTTCTCTACAATAAAGCCACTATTTCAAGCTAACCAAATAGTATTAAATTGATGACGATCAATAATAGTCTACAAACTTTCATTACAATCGTTTATTTAAATGATTTTATTCTGGCTGTACGCCATAGAAATAATAGATATATATTATTTCTATGACGCATGCTCGTTCAGAACTAGTTATAGATTTCGAAACACTACATCCGTGCATCTATTTTAAGGCAGGAAGCACGAGGTTCAGCCATCAGATAAGCCGTATATTGAAATGTACTCGCCATGGGAAAAATCTACTGTAAATGTACTTCTTGCATATAAAATTGTTACATTCAAGTTGAAAAAAAAATTAAACTATATAGGCTTGGTTTGTGTCTGAACTATACCTGAAAACGATATCTTAAACATACGGGTCCAGTACGCCTTATGGATAGTCGGTTATGTTTTTTAGTGAAACCCATTTATAAAAAAAGATTTCGTTGCTGTCGACCAGTTAATCTCTTCTAATTTTGCGTATGTCTTATATTATTAATATAGCTACCTTTGATAAAAGAACTGCTTGCTTCTTTTGAAAAGCCTGCCGGTGTCGCGCGTCTGAGCACTTTAATACCGCTTCTCCACAGTAAAGACTTTGGAAATTTGGAAAACATCTTTGAGAGCCCAATCATTTCCAATGGCAATGAAGTTCGACCAAAACTAATCATTCAATCGCCTTTTGGTCTTTACTATATATAAATGGTGGCCCCGCAAAGCAGAGTCTATTTTTCTTGACAAACAAGTTTTCCTGGATGCATTTACAGCCTAGTGAGACCTAATTGTTATGTAACAATTTTTCTTTTGCAAAACCAGCTTTTGAACGGGATTAATTCTCTGTGGCGGACTGGAAGCAACTGGAAAACAGTCCAGCAATAGGTCTAGTTTCACTGAGCATTATCGTACAGCATGCAGATGGTGATCAACGCCGCGAGAAAATGATGAAAATTCAAATAATACTAAACTTTCATTCCTTTACGTATGTGTATACGCATGTATATGCGTCTATACGTGCGCGTAATTCAATAGGCTATATATGACAAAGAAAAACATGCTCTTCTCTGTTGGAATTCTCCATAACTAGAATTACAGGAACAAGACGAAAAACTTGCTGAACCATGCAAGTGGGAATTTTCCCAAAAACATATGTAAAATACAGGAAAAACTAGAGGGCGTGCACTCGGAGCATAGTCGGATAGATATCTTAAATACACTAGATAGTGCATCTAATTATTCTGCAATTCAAAAATTGAAGCCGTGATTGCAGTCTCAGGCCGTTCCCAGAGGAGGTTGGAAGCCCTTCCCGGCATGCATTGTAACTCGTTCATATTATCGATTTCCCGGGACGAGCCGTCATTGTTCGACTAGCTCTCGTTGTGTTCGCTACTCAATTTGCAAGGAGCGGTATTCAAAAGTACAAATTGAAAATTGTAAATCATGGCGAATTTTCGTACTGTTCGTGGCAACAAAGCTACTGATTTGGATGGACGTGACAATCTTTATGTACATTGTGTGTCGAAAGAGCGACTGGAGCTGCTTCGTGAAGGGATGTCGAACTTCTAGTTTTATGGATAACGACAAGTCGACAACATTTGGCGTAAAAGTTGACTTATTATATGTTCGCCGAATGCGATAGTCCTTCATTGATAGAAATCTATTCTAGTTGTGACCTTAAGGTACGATTATTTTATGATTTAATTGGTGTGAAAATGGGCCATTTATACTCGGAAATCATACAAGACTACAAGTATTTGAATGTCAAATGAGTCAAATCTATTTTAATATCATAAAAGCAGGGAGGAGGGGCAAGGGGGGCAGAAGTGCACTTTGTGTTATAGAAATTCTGCCTGCTAAATCTTATCTCCAGTTTTGGGCAAAGTCATGAGGTGTGAACTTGAATGTGACCTGATTAAGTGTGTTTGTGCAGTTATAGTTCCTTGAGTAGACTTTATTTCCAGAACACAGAACAGCTATCGTCAATGGAACATGCACAATCAGGCTTTCATTGGCAAGTCAACACATAATTGTAGGTCTATAAAGGTGCCCTTGCCTTTTTATTGTTCCAACGTCCCTGTATAAATGCATCAAATCTTTTTTTACCTGTAGTACTTATGTTGTGTTTTGTTGTGGGAGTTTAACATTATTCCATCACCAACTTCTGTAACAATCAGACCACCCAAGCTGGATATTTTAGAGGATATACTGAATGACCTACCACTGGTGAATTTAGATGAGCCATTGTTATGCAATTGCATTAAACAGCCATTAAATCCTATGTGTTTAGTTAAAATTCATGGTGAAGAGATGCCTGGTGATGTTGAAAGTATTGGTGCAGAAGGTGGAGTTGCAGACATGGACAAGATTGATGAAATTCAGCAGTTGACTCAATTATTGGGTGTGGAACAGGCTACTGATGATGCTAAATACATGAATGATTCAAGCTCTGATTAGGAGGATGGAGACAAGGATTCTGAAGGACAAGGATTGTGGAGGAGACACATTGTATCCTGAGAATTAAGACAAGGATTGTGGAGGATACTTTGTATCCTGAGAAGTTTGTTGTAGCTGGTTCCAGGCGAGAACAAAGATACCATGCAACTTGTGATAATCATGTATAGATGATCAAAAAATCTGAAGTTGAAATTTAAAGTAGAACATGAGCAAGACATTTTTAGTTGAGATTTTCATATAAATTTATTCCTATTAAAACACTGTTATTATTTCAGGTAAATATTTGATATTAGTATTTTTGCACAAGTGAACATAACAAATGCTACAAGGTGATTGGTCAAATTTGATGTATTAATCTGTTATATTATAACAAAATCGAAATTTTCAAAATGGCGGCTAGCTGTTTTGTTGAAGTTAGTAATAAAGAAATAAGCGAAATTAAAATGAATTCAGACCAGAAAAATACAAAAACTTGTGCAAAAATACTAAAACAATTATTCGCCTCAGGCTCTGTGATTATCTGGGAATATTAACCTCGGCAAATATTCCCCGATAATCACCTAAATATAATTTTACCAGTCCTTTTTCAAATAAATAAATGTTTTCAAACTCAATTTCCTGTGTTTGTTTACTGCAGTCATTGTGCATGTGTTCTTAACACTGTTTTAACAGCTGTATATTTAGTACAGATGGATCACTGATCTAAATATGGATCCAGTATGATGTGGTAGGGAGGGTGCTCTGGTGCCGAGTTGTGTCAGTCATGTGCGCCACCCACCCACCTATCAACTTACTTGACTACAGCAAAGTCTTGCTTGACTACTGTATTGTAATTGTTGTTAACAAACAGTTTACTTATCATCATGTTATTACTCAAATTACTCATTTTGACTCTAATATTTTTTGCTTTATCATGAAAATACCCCCCCCCCCCCTGCATACCCTCTGGCCAGGGCTAGGTGGGGGGTGGTCATATAAATGCAGTGGTCATAGATAATTGATGTTAATAAAATGCTTTATTCAAAGTTACAATATATAAAGTAAATACTTAAGATTCATTGCAACATTTTCATGTCACCAATACACCAGTATTTACATGTAAAATGTCTACTAAAATATGTATCTATTAAAAGGCTGGTATGGGCAAATTTATATAACAGGTTGCTCTTATTATTCTGGTTCAATATTTTCATTGCTTGAATCAGTTGAATGGATCATGAGCACAACTTGGCTGGATTAGATGTTATACCATTTGCCAAAGCAGGATGTAGGAACAGTTTGCTCAATAACAGTTCTAAATCAGCATTAAATTCATAAGTTCAACTTTTCCCATACTAAGGAGTAAGGATCAACAATATAAACAACATTGCCATCATTGTCAGATTCCATTTTCACAAAATATATTCGAATTCTATAAAAATAATGGTAAAATACAGTGTATTTAACTTAAATGCAGCAGTTAAACTCAACAACGATCGACATATATGCACATTCTTCGAAATAAAACAAAAATAATAACGACTCGTACAGTAATTTTCCTCGCGCCATAATTCCCATGCGGTCGATTATTCCCGCGATGGGCGACATAGTATACCGAAAATGCCCCATTTTCAAACCGCGATTACTCGTCAGTTTGATGGGGACAATTCATTTTTTAAACTTCTCATAGAAAGAACAACTCTTCCTGAATACGATGGCGTGTCTTTTATTTAATTTACTCATTTATAAACCCAATTGTCCCCAGCGGTTTTGAAAGCCACTTTTGACACTTGTGCATTGACCCGTAAAACAGGTCAATACAAATTGCGATTAACATATAACTAAACGTTGTTAAAACACCAAATAAAGCAAAAATCGTTAATTTGACTCATATTTAAAACAATTATAAAAACTTACCTTCAAAAATACGAACTTTTCGTGGCGAAATATCGAAATAAATATCCACAACTTTTCCAACTAACATTGTGAAAAATCATGATTGTGAATATTAATGAGTTGCAATGCATGCTGGGAAGAGCTTCCACCCTCCTCTGGGCCGTTCCCATGAAATGAGAAGATTCGTATGTTTTCTATTTCTTAAACAGGGAACTTAAACATGAAGTTAACCCTTTTCCAAATACGTTTTTAAACTATTCAAATGATGAAAGTTATTGTTGTTTTAAAGCGTTTATTAGCAAGTGGGAACAAGAGGGGGTAACAGCTGGAATTTTCTTGGCTTCAATTTTACTAAAAGAGATGCGCTATCTAGTGTATATAAGATATCTATGACTCGGAGACTGACAGTGTCAGTGAATTAAGTTAAGTACATGCATGCATAAATTATACAGTATATATAATCTTCAATAATTGTACATAATTGCATATGATAATTGTATATACAGAGGCCGCGGAACCGGGGGGGGGCATTGGAGGCAGGTGCTCCCCCCCACTTTTTGTGCAAAGAGAAAATGTGCATTTTTGATGGAATAAAAGTGCCCTTTTTTCTAGCAATTAAAAAGGAATTATAAATGCCCCCTTAAAGCTAAGAAGTCTACAAATCGAGGACAGAACTGATCCTAAGTTTGATTGCTAAAGACTTTGTTATCAACTCCACCGCGAGACAATTAATTGGCAACTTTGAATCAAATCATACTATTCGCTTAAATGTCTTTTACATACTTTTTTGCGAATTTTCTAATGGCATAGTTTATTTTTGTTAAAAATGGACCTGAATCTTTTTGCAACTTTATCAACATAGTATTTTTAATAGGTAATATTTTAAAATTCTCAAAATTCTCCGAGTTGCCAACATATATAGTCTTCCGTTCATTAATGCATATCAGTCTAAGAAAATGCCAGTTGGCAGCTTGTAACAGAAAATGCCATCAAACAAATTTTGGTGTACATTTTAAGGTTTTGTCCGGCCTCTATTGTACGGGCATGCAATGCAAGGCATTGGGTAGAGTACCCAGGGTACCCTGGGAACGAGGTTGCCACTGGGCCCCTTCATCTGCCCCACCACCGATAAAAAATATGGGCTATTGCCCCAAAGCCAGGGCACTAGGACCTGTATTGAGAGTAAATGAGTTTAACATTGAAAAGAAGTTTAAAAAACAACTGATTTGTTGGCGAGCATACTTAAACTTCTCAGTTGTGTTTGAATGTTTAGCGTGCAATTTATTACAAATTTCTCCATTAAAACTTTGTGTTGAAAAGCTGAGATTTT